TATCGCAAAACAGTTTTTTTCAGCAGCAATTGTATTTGTCAACAATGTGGTTTGTCAAAGGTGGAGAACAGAATATTCAGATTCCTGCTCTAGTATCTAGAGCACAAAGCTTGTGATCAAGCTCATAGCCTTTACTATCTTGTAGGCAAAATAACGAAGTACTAAAAGTCAAATAGGCAGTGTACATACCTGCAAATACTTTAACTGTTCAAAAAAAGTATTCCTAATATATTAGCTCCTATAAAAGAGCTGAAACTTTTGAAGGGTGGGAGTGGAATAAGCACTACCAAATGCTGACTATCAAAATAGTCCTAATAAAATAATACCTTTGTTTTAAAAATCTTGGTTTTATTAGAGGGAGGTTGTTTCAAAACATGGCAACCAAAATGAAAGAAAGTTCACTTAAAAAAATAACACTATTTCATGAATACTCTACATGTAAGATAGTCTGGTTAATGGTAGTATGGATGATGTTTAAATCTGTACATATTCTCTATATATACTCTGTTGAACCTTCAGCATTAACTGTCAGTGGTAAGCCTTTAAATATAATTTGTAATAGTTACACCTTCAGAAGTGTCTGGTAGTTGTTCTTCTACACTAACTGTCTGTACTATAGAAGTTTATTTTTGCATTTGTAGCAATAAATTTGACTTCTTGAACCTCAGCTCCTTTATGCATGGGAGGAGTGGACAGCAGCTCACAATGAAATCTCCAGCTTGTGCTTCTCCATGCTACTTCCTCTCAACACTCTTCTCTCTTTGGCGGCTGCTTAACACTGACTCTGCCTGTTAATGGGATTTTCCTTTGTGCTTGATCTAACCATGTGGTAGAACAATACAAATTGAACATGGTTCTGTCAAGCACCATGGAAGGCTCCATGCTTTCCTGCAGCATGGCATGCTGGAATTCTTCTTCTGTTTTCAGAAGCATCAAAAGGTGAGAGATGTCCTCATTGTGACAGGAAAAGGAATAACAAGAGACATATGGTAAAGAAAACTGTAACATTACAGTTTCATAATGTTTCATACAACTACATAGCTTAAAGCAGATCTCACCATAAGCCCACAAATCAATCAAGCGTTCAGATAGTGATTTTGAAAATAGCTTGCATGTGAAATAACTGAGGCAAGTTGCATTATTCCTTTAAAGTGTACAAATTGAGTATCTAGAGATATTAAATTTTGTTTCAGCTTCAGTGATGGTTTCATGAATGATGTCAGCTTTATTACCTTGTATTGTAAGCTGGGCACAATAATATGATACTGTGCAGGATGCTTCCCATTATTAAAAAATTCCAGTCAAGTAAGTAGAATAGTAGAAACTACTGTATTCTTGGCCTGGAATAAAGACACACTTTTGACATACTTCCACACTCTGTGCTTGGTGAATATAAATAGTTGTTACAAAATTCACTGTAATATCCATCTAACCATCTAATGTCTTATTCATCTCTATAACACCTGCCTTCTGAGAGCACTGTCTCTGTCATCTTATCTTCCAAAGAAACCTATGCATCTGCTATGGAGCCAATAGAAAATCTTTCTAAAACTTACAACATAGGGTATGCATCCCATTTACCAACTGCAGTGACCATGCCATTGCTACCCACAAACTAAAATCATAGGCTAAATGCATACACTTCCCTGTGGATATATATTATAGGAGAAGGTTAGAAGGTGGGTAGTACATACTTAGCAGTTGTTCTCCAATCTTCAGGAGATCAAGTTTTTATTTTATTTTATTTTATTTTATTTTTATTTTTTATTTGTTTGTTTGTTTGTTTGTTTGTTTTTGTAGACATTTCAACTTACAACCCAGTGAGATTTCCTCACTGCAGTGATTCAAAAGTTGGGGTAATTTGTGGTGTTTGTAGTCTGTGTTAAATTTTATCTTAGGGTTGGGGGTTGGTTGATGATTGGAGGTTTCCTGGGAGGTATCGATTAATTCATTGCTGGGAATGGTATAATCTCTATTTTCATTGGTCCACATCAAGGACATCAATTAATTGATACCATCCAGAAAACCTCCAACCACCAACCAATCTCTCTGAGTTCAGATCTTACATAGACTGCAAGAACTGCAAGGCAACCTTCACTTCTGAACCCTCCCTGGATTCCTTGAAACATAGTTCACATCTTCTGGTCTG